CACTATACAATACAACTCGTACCGTACTGTGGAAAATTTTGCTAGTCGAATTGAAATTATTTGAAAAGCTTTGAATTTTATAGAAGTGTTTTCTTACCTTATATCGTCAAATGTTTTAGAGAAATAGTTCTCACGATCAGGAGACGATTAAACTCTGCCTTTGTACCCCGACCAAGCTACAATGAGCTTGCTAACTGACCAGCTCAGAGCGTCATTGGGCGAAATACGAAAATTAATCTTGAGGTTTAGGACATTTGCATAATCGACTGCATGTGTGGGGCTTGCTGAAGAAGCTATTAATCTCACAGACAAGTTGATCAATCAGCGCGATATTACTTGATTCAATAAGAGCCAGGAAGTAGATTTACATAGACTAACGCTTGTTACTGCTCTATTGAGCGCCTAACAATACACTCATTGATTTAAATGACACGAGTAGGCAATTTTGCCATGATGAGGCAGAAATAGAACTCGACCACTTAGCACCGCTTATTAAATTAACGGCGAAAGCCCATTCCTTCTGGGAATATTCTGTTCATCTGTTTTATTCCGTGCATTTATCGAAGGTGTCTCATTAGGTGTTGATTTGTGGTCATCAAGCAAAGAGAAGATCAGTCTACGCGGGGGAATAAGAAGACAAATTACTTTCAGTACCGTACGTCAACAAACTTCAACAAAATCACTGTTTACGGCTGCTACCATCGCTCTTATGCTTGAATGAGGGTTGACTGATGACAGTCTCGGCTGACAGGCCGATATTACCAACAAACGTTGTTTCATTTATTTATTGGTTAAGTTTTATCACGAAAAAAATCCCGTCAGATTGTTGCTGACAGCGAATTGGTTTTTGTATAGACAAGCGATTACACACGACAAGTCAAAACTGATATATCCGTCTTTCATTTCCTGCTCGAGAATAAGCGCTTGAAGGTTTGTTTGACAAGGAAAAAGCAGCTTGTGGCTTTTCTTTGCCTAAAGTAGTGAATATTGTCATGGATTTCTAAGTGATCTCTCCGTAATTTGTCATGTCATTTTCAAAGATTAAAGTTATTAATGATTACTTTTCCTTGCAACCTTCCTAAAAGTGATTTTATAGTAGCGTGAAGAGAAGTTGAAGGTACTTTACACTGCGGTTGACATTTGTAAGAGTTCTCTTAAAAAACGGAATCATTTTAGTCACGAAACTACTGTCCTCAAATTTTGCGGGTTTTAATATTTGTGATTTTTCCCATTCTTACACGGAAACAATTCTGTAAAAATTTCCTTCCACAAAACTCCAAGTCCAATATAGGAAACAGCAGAAATCTTGTATATATAAAAATAGATTCAATATCGGACATTTTCGACGACCCCAATCAAAGCGATGGTTATTTAAAAGGCTTCTGAAAAATGGATTGCTGTTTACGGTATTAACAGCCACTCAAGGTCTTGACTGAGAAAAGTATGTTAAGGGTACAGTTCCGGAAAAAATGAGGTGTATATTGTTTATATTGCAATTATTAATATCGCTTTTCAAGCAAAGTGATCTTGAACGAGTTTCTGTTTTTGTGTGTGCTACTTATATCACTTAAACTTGAGATCCTGCATATATTGGGTACATAGCTGTTACCTTAAAATAACTGTTCAGTCATAGAAGCGAACAAGAATCCATTTTTTTTTTGTCTTTCGAAGGCAGTGATAATAACAGGAATCTCAAGATCTGTGACAATTGCGTTTTCCGTAACAGATCGGATTTGTTTCAGGTCGGTGATCGAAGACCACGATTCATCAGTTGTCCGGATCAATGTTTCATCGGAGAAATGCGATAATAAACAGGGCCCGGATGTTACTCCACCGACGGTCCCCTAAGAGGTGGTTTGGAGAATACTACTCTTGAACCTCTACGCCTGGGCCTTGAACCTCTAGGTCTAGGTCTAGGCCTGCCCCGATTGTGCTCGTAAAATGCTGGAAAGTTGCTCACTGGAATGCCAAAAAGTTGTAAATAAAATGGCAAAAATCGAATGAGTTACTGCCTAAATTTCTTGATATTTTTATACCAACTTCAATTAAAGCTTTATTTTATGGGCGAAATTCAAGGATACTCTTAAGTCTAACGGAACATGACAAAACATATGGTTCATTTGACTTCAAAAGGTTAATAAACCTTCAAGAAATTCGCATAAATTTAACTTTTCTATGAAATCATTGTCTTTTTCGTGCATAATATGTGCTCTACACCTCTTGGCTTGTCCCTTAAAAATTGAGGGCGGGGAGAGTCCTGAGAACAGCAGTACTGTACATGGAAAGAGATCCGTGAACATGGAACAGAAATACTAGTTAACCTCGTCATTTTACTAAATACTTCCTTGTGTAAGTCCATCTTTTCTCAATCAGCGTCTGTTCCCAAGGTGACAACCAAAGACAACCAGAGAACGATTGCATAATTAATCATGTCGAGCACAAAATTCTCGATTATGATTGGTTCTTCGACCATGACATGTCCACCTTATTTGAGTATTGTTATTTTATTTAGAAGAAAGCACTATTCAAGCATCTATACATTAATTTCCATGTGTAACAGCCGATTAATTTAAAATACGCCCTTCTCTCCCAAAAGAAACAAACTGTCGGCAAACAAAGAAAGTAGTTACTTCTACGATAGGCTTTTGCACATTATGCTTTTATTTCCCCACTAAAATGCTCCACCTTAGTGCTCCATTTTTCCCACTAAAATGCTCGGTTTCCCCCCGAGAAAGTCACTAAAATGCTCGGTTAATGCTCATACATGCGGTTTTTAATTTTTAATAATTTTAACGTTTCAACACAATTAACAACAAAGTATCTAATAGGTTTAATAGACCAAAAGATAATTCTCTGAATGATCTGTTCTGTTAATCCTTTGTCCCTTTTTTAAGTGAAGAGGCTAAGTTAAGTCTTCATTTTCTGGTAAAAAATAGTTTTTATTTCTATTTTCTGTGGAAAAATATTAGTAATTTTCCAGGAAAATGCCAGTAACATGCTCGAATAATGCTTAATGCTTTTGCCTCACTAAAATGCTCGAAAAAATGCTAGCATAATGTACAAAAACCTATTCTACGACCGCAAGGTTGATTTTTATTTATTTTTCTTGGTTTGCAGTTGAATCTCCAGTTCAACGAGAAGCAGGCGAGACTCGCTTGTGGAAGAGACAATCAGTCCTCTGCCAAACGCACGCGTACAAAAGTAGAAAGATGTGTCCAGGTCTACAAGCTGTTCAAACAAATTAAAGAGTTNGTTACTTCTACGATAGGCTTTTGCACATTATGCTTTTATTTCCCCACTAAAATGCTCCACCTTAGTGCTCGGTTTCCCCCCGAGAAAGTCACTAAAATGCTCGGTTAATGCTGATACATGCGGTTTTTAATTTTTAATAATTTTAACGTTTCAACACAATTAACAACAACGTATCTAATAGTTTTAATACACCGAAAGAAAATTCTCTGAATGATCTGTTGTTCTGTTAATCCTTTGTCCCTTTTTTAAGTGAAGAGGCTAAGTTAAGTCTTCATTTTCTGGTAAAAAATAGTTTTTACTTCTATTTTCTGTGGAAATATATTAGTAATTTTCCAGGAAAATGCCGCTAAAATGCTCGAATAATGCTTAATGCTTTTGCCTCACTAAAATGCTCGAAAAAATGCTAGCAAAATGCTAAAAAACCTATTCTACGACCGCAAGGTTGATTTTTATTTATTTTTCTTGGTTTGCAGTTGAATCTCCAGGACAACGAGAAGCAGGCGAGACTCGCTTGTGGAAGAGACAATCAGTCCTCTGCCAAACGCACGCGTACAAAAGTAGAAAGATGTGTCCAGGTCTACAAGCTGTTCAAACAAATTAAAGAGTTATATTGTTCAAGGAATTAACAGCAAATTTATTCAGGGCTTCTGCAGCATGACGTCACTGCAATAATAAAAGCCGTGACTTGTTGCATTCCTTCTCGCCGACCAGTTAATACAGAGTTAATATGCTGTAGCTACACGACGTGTGCCGGTAGTTTATTCTGTGGTGAACGGTCAGGCCAGAGGTCAACAAAACTAGGGGTTTACTGTCAAACTGAGAAGTTTCGTCGTCTCGGGCGCAGCCGATGTGTCCTTTGGTCTTTGGTTAATTCGGTTCTGCAGTGAGTTTTTGAATTGTAGTCGTTATGAACGAGCATATGGTGAACGGATCGCGTAATGAACAACAACAGATAAAATCGACCAACTCGAAAACCGGCAATACTGGTAAACACATTCTTAATCATTTTGTCGCATTTTATTTTAATAACTCCATCAGAGTACTATACTTTATGTTGATTATGATTCACTGAACTCGCCTGAACTCTCAGTGTATCCTGATGCTTTTACAGCTTGTGACGCCCTAGAAAATGAAAGTCTTAGAATTACTTTGGTGAAAAATGGATGGCGACAATTGCAACAATTTGATAAGAAATGAGTTCGTGACTGCTAAGAAGTTATGTCCTCCTGTATGATATTTACTCTAATATGCTACAAGGACGGTAAACGCATTTGAAGCGTGACCTCACTACCTCACTGCTCGCATGACCCGCGCCGAGTACTAGTCGCGTACCTTTCTCAGTGACCATGTGATGCCTAACTGTTCGCTGAGGAAAGGCTTCATCGGCCTCAACAGATTATAGTCTACCCACAAAGTTTTCTTTCAATAGGTTTATTCGCTGGTGTAAAATTTTACCGAGAAAAATTTTCTGTCCTGAGCCGGAATATTCTTTACCCGTATGTAATTAGACTTTTCTTGTTGATCGACTTGTGCCAGAACACAAACAAGTTTTGACTGTTAACAAGCTTTTTCTTGGAGGGTCACGTAAAGAAACCCACCAGCATTCAAGTGTTTTATTGATGAGGAGACTTGAAAAAGAACGCTTCACATATTTTGTCGTATTCACGACCAAGAAAGACTCGGGTTTGATTAGTTTTACCGTTTTGAGTAGAATTTAGCAGTTTATAACTCGGAATAAAGGAAAAAATTCTAAAACAGCCGACATCTAAAGCTTGACCTGATTTTGGTCTATTTCAGAGGAAACACCTTTTCTCTCACCTGCTGAGAAACTTTTCAGATTGTATGACGGCGTAGAGACATTTGTGATGTTTATCGGATACCAGCGCAGCTGTCACAGCCTAGTGGCGGCCATGTTGGATGCCCACCCAGAAATTGTTATCTCACCTGGGTACCAGCTGATAGAGAAATGGGAACAGTACCAGTCACCAGAACTTAAGGAGAAACGCATGCAAAAATATCGTTTATTTTACGATCTTCACCAGCATTCCTTGGAGCATGCTATGTTCATTACACGTGCTAGCAGCGAAAGTTGCCTGAGGCAAGAGTCAAAGTACAACTACCATATTCCGGGTCTATGGCAAGGAGGATTTCAGCACAGAATTAAGGTGAACTACCGTCCTACTACATCCAACACTTCATTCACGCCTTTTAAAGGGACGGAAGGAGGAATTTTCTGGGACAGGAATCTTTTTTCTCACCTTTAGGTTAGGCATGATCTCTTTTGAAAAAATTCTATCTGACTCCTCTGTCCTTCCAAACGGCCCAAAATTAAATTCACTTTTATATGCAGATGATTTAGTCATATTGTCAAGATCAAAAATAGGACTGCAAAATTGCCTTAACACTCTATCATCCTATCGCGGTACATGGATGTTAAGTATCAATAAAAAAAAGGTTATGATCTTTCAAAAACGTGCTAAGAAATGTATCCAGTCTAATTTTCATATCGACAATGAGCCTGTTGAAATTGTTGAAAATTACACTTATTTGGGAACACTCATTTCTTCAACGGGTAACTCTTCATTGGCACTTGATAAATTGAAAGAAAAGGCCTTTCGCGCCCTTTTCATTCTTAGAAAACACACAAATTTCAGCAAACTACCTCCATTCCTAGCGAATAAAATTTTCGACGCAATTATCTCTCCAATTTTGACATATACAGTGAAGTCTGGGGCGGTGCATATGCAAAATCTGATCTCAAGACTTGGGACAGTTCCCAGATCGACAAAAACACATCTCCAATTCTGTAAACGTTATTTACAAGTAAGCAATAATGCATCCAATGTAGCATGCAGAGCTGAACTTGGTAGGTTTCCTCTTATTATAGCTATCAATCAGGAAATCATGAATTACTCCTCATAGCTTCTAAGTAAGAATAATTGCTCTACTGTTAAACAAATCTTTCTCATGTCGTAAGATCTTCGTCACCCTGGTAAAAATAGTTATTATTCTAATACAATAAGTATGTCTGAATTTTACAATTTCCCTTGTTTGGATCTTACGTACTTAACTAACGCTAAAATCAAACAGTATGTTGGCCTAATGCAGCAAAAGTATATTTTATATTGGCAACATACCATGCAAAACTCTACTAAACTAGAATTTTTCAGCACTTTTAAGAACGATTATATACCCTCCTCTTATTTAGGCCTAACAAGCAAACTAAGCGAAAGAAAAGAACTAGTGAAATTTAGGATAGGCAATCACAGACTAAGGATTGAGACTTAGATATGATCAACTTGAAATTTCATGGGTTAACAGACTCTGCCCTATTTGTGACTCTAATCAAATTGAAGACGAATCTCACTTTCTTATTTATTGCAATAAATACTCTATTGTAAGAAATAAATTTTATAAAAAAATAGAACATATCATTCCGACTTTTAAACAAGTATGTTAGTTACAAGCCAGACTGGTTACAAGCCATTGACGAACTCATGACTTCTTCAAATCATTATATTAATATTCAATCAGCAAAATTTTATTTCATCTCGCTTTGATCTACGCAATATTCTACTTTCAAATCAAACCAATGTAACTTGATTGCTATGTCATAATCACAATAATCGTTACTGTTTTAGTTTTACAAAAGCTTTTGCAACACTGTATGAATTTATGGTCAGGCAAATAAAGCTACTTGTTGTTGTTGCTGTTTTTGGTGGGTAATAGATTGTGCAAGAATATTTTTTAACATGAAAAATCAAAATAGTGATAGTAGAAAGTACTTGCTCGAGTTTTTGCCCATGGCTCTCCTTGCAGGATTTTTTTTCAGCAGTTTTTGCTGTGCAGAATTTTTTTTTTTTTTTTAAATTGCCCAACCCGCCCGTCCCCTCAAAAAATGATGATCCGTCCCTAATACCCCCCCTCAAAAACAACAACAACACGACATTCACGCAGATAAAGGCGATGGGTTTGCTATCAGAATTTTACATTCTTGGGGAAATGGATACGTTTTTTTTTTTTTGTCTTATTTCTGTTTTTCTTTCCCCACTCCGCACAATCCAGGTCTAACAGATCCAGCCCTCCTTATTGGTTCGTCTCAGTCCCGTTGACATCTAAAATTTGTATAATCACTTTCTTTTCAATCGATTTTCAAGGTTATCGGTGACAGGAAAGGGAAGGATACTGCACTGGCATTGACCGACAAGATGAGTATTCTAGACGAAATCCGTGAAGTCATCCAAGTACCAATCAAATTAATACACGTCATCAGGAATCCCTTTGATAACATAGCAACCATGATGCTTCATGCTGTAGAGTCAAGTGACGCTGTAAGAGGGGGTGGATTAAAAGTGAGGGCCAGATAATTAAACTTTAATACAACAAAACCCGGAGGAGGAGATTCCTATATAAAAAGGTCGGGGATGCTCCTCGGAAGTTCTGAATTAAAGTCCTAACGGAGACCAATCTGCGCGTGTCTCGAGCTTTATTTGACCTTTAAAAGATAGTTTCGATTTCCAGCCGCTGTTCAGGAGAGGAGCCCGCGCTGGTACACCGGACTAGCGAGACCGGCGGAAATCGAGCCTAAAAACGGAAATAAGAGTGTTTTTTTTTTTTATAATTTTTTCTTCGACTACACCCTAAGCGAGATCAGAATCCTTGATTTATACCCCTAAGCGAGACGAGGAGCATCCTCGACCTTTTTATATGGGAGTCCCTACGGGGCAACAAGACATGTATTTCACTCGCGCGTTCACTCGAACTTAGATGATGACGAGGTTAATTAATGTGTTTATGAAATCGTGGAGACAACAAAACAAACGCGCTGGAACCTTAGAACATGAAGAATTTAATGAGAATACGGATTGCTGGTCATGTTTAAATAGTTGGATGCAAACACTAGAGAAAGTTTGGGAGAACTGGAAAATTTATGTCAATTCGAGCTAGCTGTACTGCATTTTACATTCTCCCAAACTGGCCTTATCGGGTGTTAGCAGTCAGGCTGAGCAAACGGTAAGTGGCTGTAGGCTTTTCCCTTCATAAAGTGAGAAAGGCTGATTTAATCGAGTATACAATCGAAATAAAATTACGCACAATGCACTGAAGTGGAGCACTGTTTGCTCCACACCGTAGGGATATAGCTTTGTCTCAAATCTATTGACTGTTACTCGGGTTACTGACAATAGTTAGCTCGGCGTTTGAAAATAGAATACACTCAAAGACTTTCGGTTCATAAAATTGCATTCGAAACGTCTCTGTTCCATGAGATGCTCACAGGATCCTTTGTTCGTATGGTAACGTTATAATGTATTTAATGATCTCTATATTTCATTTATGTCCTTTAACTCTCGCATGTACCACGGACGTTGAAAATGTACACAAATTAATGCATTGCTTCCCTGTTTTCTTTTGGCCAACAGATAGAAAACAAGGAAGAACTGGACCGGGCCATTGAGCGCTACTTTGAGTTGGCAGATGCTACCCAATTCGTCAAATTACACTGCAAAGATGCAGTCATTGATATTCCAGCGCACGAAATGCTGCTAAGACCCAAAGAAACCCTGCGGAAATTATGTGATCACTTGGGAGTGTCCTGCCCTAAAAATTACGTGGAAAAATGTCGAGAGGTTTTGAGAGCTCCTTCGGTGACGAGGGATAAGGTACTTTGGACCAATGAACAAATAGAGCGCGTAACAAAGATGATGAAAGATTATCACTTTCTAGAAAAATATTCATTTGACGAGCTTCCTAAGTAATGTCTTCAGCCACTACAGGGACGAGTGTTTTGATTTCACTTTGGACATTTGCCAATTACCCCCATTTGCAAATATGAAATATGAAAATGAACCATACTGCTTTTTCAATCAATCAATGCCAGTCAAACTTGCAACTGCAAAGCATGCACACGTCACCTTGCTTCAAGTTAATATCGGGCTGGCTATAGCCAGCTCCTTGACAGCACGCATTTCATCTTGTTGGGCTTTTCTGCAAAGAAAATGACCAGTTTTTAGCTGCAAAAAGCACTCTTTTGATCCACTCCATGATCCCTCTGGTTTTACACCTTTAGGCTCTGACCTGTCATCAAGGACCCTGGCCACTATCCCGGAACCACCTCGTTCCCAGGGCTCTTCCCCTAGACGTTGGAAGGGAAAAGCCCTGGGAACGAGGTTGGGAATTCCTTCGAGCACCTCTTAGCTGTTCCCTTTGGGTTAAATAAACGCAGCTGCAAGTCGAAGTACATGTAAACATTGAATGTTGAAACAGATTTACTGTAGATAAAAAACCGCCCCTTATGCTCCAGACCTGTTTGATAGCGCGCAGATTCTCGGCGTTGTGGGAAGGATCGGAGTACGTAACTAACTGTTTGGGTGATCTAAACGGTGTAAACCCCGCGGAAAAAACCTGTGTCGGCTGATGTGCGAATTGGAGCTAACTCAAAGTGAAAGCAAGTTACCATCTTTACGATTCTTATAGCCACAAAGTCTGACGTGTGTGATGCTTTTCCCTTAGACTGAAATTGACAGCAGAAAGAAACCTAGGAACGGCATTACTGTATATGGAAAGAAGTCTGTGGGTCCGTGCACGTGCAGCTGAAATACTAACCTCGTCCTTTTACTAAATACCACCTTACATAGGTCCATCTCCTCTTTAATCAGCGTCTGTTTCCAAGATGATAACCAAAGACGGTTAGAGAACGAGTGCACGTTTAATCCTATCTATAACAGAATTCTCGATCGAGGTTGGTTCTCCGAGAGCCTAATCCGCGTCACGTAATGGGTGCGCGATTACGTGGGTGTCTAATTACAGATATCCAATAACAACTTTTTGTAACTGGATGCCCACGCCATTCACACGTCAATAACGCGCGCTTTAATTGCTTCCTTCTTAATGTTTCCAACAGTTTTTGAGTTATTTTTTTT